AAGCTTCCTGCCATCCAGGACCTCTATACCAGGCGTGTCAGAGGGTAGTGCGTACGGCCCAGTACATCACTGGGGCCAAGCTTCCTGCCATCCAGGACCTCTATACCAGGCAGTGTCAGAGGGTAGTGCGTACGGCCCAGTACATCACTGGGGCCAAACTTCCTGCCATCCAGGACCTCTATACCAGGCAGTGTCAGAGGGTAATGCGTACGGCCCAGTACATCACTGGGGCCAAGCTTCCTGCCATCCAGGACCTCTATACCAGGCAGTGTCAGAGGGTAGTGCGTACGGCCCAGTACATCACTGGGGCCAAGCTTCCTGCCATCCAGGACCTCTATACCAGGCAGTGTCAGAGGGTAATGCGTACGGCCCAGTACATCACTGGGGCCAAGCTTCCTGCCATCCAGGACCTCTATACCAGGCAGTGTCAGAGGGTAGTGCGTACGGCCCAGTACATCACTGGGGCCAAGCTTCCTGCCATCCAGGACCTCTATACCAGGCAGTGTCAGAGGGTAATGCGTACGGCCCAGTACATCACTGGGGCCAAGCTTCCTGCCATCCAGGACCTCTATACCAGGCAGTGTCAGAGGGTAATGCGTACGGCCCAGTACATCACTGGGGCCAAGCTTCCTGCCATCCAGGACCTCTATACCAGGCAGTGTCAGAGGGTAATGCGTACGGCCCAGTACATCACTGGGGCCAAGCTTCCTGCCATCCAGGACCTCTATACCAGGCAGTGTCAGAGGGTAGTGCGTACGGCCCAGTACATCACTGGGGCCAAGCTTCCTGCCATCCAGGACCTCTATACCAGGCAGTGTCAGAGGGTAATGCGTACGGCCCAGTACATCACTGGGGCCAAGCTTCCTGCCATCCAGGACCTCTATACCAGGCAGTGTCAGAGGGTAATGCGTACGCCCAGTACATCACTGGGGCCAAGCTTCCTGCCATCCAGGACCTCTATACCAGGCAGTGTCAGAGGGTAGTGCGTACGGCCCAGTACATCACTGGGGCCAAGCTTCCTGCCATCCAGGACCTCTATACCAGGCAGTGTCAGAGGGTAATGCGTACGGCCCAGTACATCACTGGGGCCAAGCTTCCTGCCATCCAGGACCTCTATACCAGGCAGTGTCAGAGGGTAGTGCGTACGGCCCAGTACATCACTGGGGCCAAGCTTCCTGCCATCCAGGACCTCTATACCAGCAGTGTCAGAGGGTAATGCGTACGGCCCAGTACATCAAACTGGGGCCAAGCTTCCTGCCATCCAGGACCTCTATACCAGGCAGTGTCAGAGGGTAGTGCGTACGGCCCAGTACATCACTGGGGCCAAGTTCCTGCCATCCAGGACCTCTATACAGGCAGTGTCAAGGGGTAGTGCGTACGGCCCAGTACATCACTGGGGCCAAGCTTCCTGCCATCCAGGACCTCTATACCAGGCAGTGTCAGAGGGTAATGCGTACGGCCCAGTACATCACTGGGGCCAAGCTTCCTGCCATCCAGGACCTCTATACCAGGCAGTGTCAGAGGGTAGTGCGTACGGCCCAGTACATCACTGGGGCCAAGCTTCCTGCCATCCAGGACCTCTATACCAGGCAGTGTCAGAGGGTAATGCGTACGGCCCAGTACATCACTGGGGCCAAGCTTCCTGCCATCCAGGACCTCTATACCAGGCAGTGTCAGAGGGTAGTGCGTACGGCCCAGTACATCACTGGGGCCAAGCTTCCTGCCATCCAGGACCTCTATACCAGGCAGTGTCAGAGGGTAGTGCGTACGGCCCAGTACATCACTGGGGCCAAGCTTCCTGCCATCCAGGACCTCTATACCAGGCAGTGTCAGAGGGTAGTGCGTACGTCCCAGTACATCACTGGGGCCAAGCTTCCTGCCATCCAGGACCTCTATACCAGGCAGTGTCAGAGGGTAATGCGTACGGCCCAGTACATCACTGGGGCCAAGCTTCCTGCCATCCAGGACCTCTATACCAGGCAGTGTCAGAGGGTAGTGCGTACGGCCCAGTACATCACTGGGGCCAAGCTTCCTGCCATCCAGGACCTCTATACCAGGCAGTGTCAGAGGGTAATGCGTACGGCCCAGTACATCACTGGGGCCAAGCTTCCTGCCATCCAGGACCTCTATACCAGGCAGTGTCAGAGGGTAATGCGTACGGCCCAGTACATCACTGGGGCCAAGCTTCCTGCCATCCAGGACCTCTATACCAGGCAGTGTCAGAGGGTAATGCGTACGGCCCAGTACATCACTGGGGCCAAGCTTCCTGCCATCCAGGACCTCTATACCAGGCGGTGTCAGAGGGTAGTGCGTACGGCCCAGTACATCACTGGGGCCAAGCTTCCTGCCATCCAGGACCTCTATACCAGGCGGTGTCAGAGGGTAATGCGTACGGCCCAGTACATCACTGGGGCCAAGCTTCCTGCCATCCAGGACCTCTATACCAGGCAGTGTCAGAGGGTAATGCGTACGGCCCAGTACATCACTGGGGCCAAGCTTCCTGCCATCCAGGACCTCTATACCAGGCAGTGTCAGAGGGTAATGCGTACGGCCCAGTACATCACTGGGGCCAAGCTTCCTGCCATCCAGGACCTCTATACCAGGCAGTGTCAGAGGGTAATGCGTACGGCCCAGTACATCACTGGGGCCAAGCTTCCTGCCATCCAGGACCTCTATACCAGGCAGTGTCAGAGGGTAATGCGTACGGCCCAGTACATCACTGGGGCCAAGCTTCCTGCCATCCAGGACCTCTATACCAGGCAGTGTCAGAGGGTAATGCGTACGGCCCAGTACATCACTGGGGCCAAGCTTCCTGCCATCCAGGACCTCTATACCAGGCAGTGTCAGAGGAAGGCCCTAAAAATGGTCAGACTCAAGCCACCTAAGTCATTGACTGTTCTCTCTGCTACCGCACGGCAAGCGGTACCGATGCACCAAGCCTGGAACCAACAGGACCCTGAAAAGCTTCTACCCCCAAGCCATAAGACTGCTAAATAGTTAACAAAATAGTTACCCGGACTATCTGCACTGACCCTTTTTGCACTCTTTTGACTCATCACATACGCTGCTGCTACTGTCTATTATCTATCCTGTTGTCTAGTCACTTTACCCCTACCTACAGTATACTGCTGCTACTGTCTATTATCTATCCTGTTGTCTAGTCACTTTACCCCTACCTACAGTATACTGCTGCTACTGTCTATTATCTATCCTGTTGTCTAGTCACTTTACCCCTACCTACAGTATACTGCTGCTACTGTCTATTATCTATCCTGTTGCCTAGTCACTTTACCCCTACCTACAGTATACTGCTGCTACTGTCTATTATCTATCCTGTTGTCTAGTCCCTTTACCCCTACCTACAGTATACTGCTGCTACTGTCTATTATCTATCCTGTTTGTCTAGTCACTTTACCCCTACCTACAGTATACTGCTGCTACTGTCTTTCTATCCTGTTGCCTAGTCACTTTACCCCTACCTACAGTATACTGCTGCTACTGTTATTATCTATCCTGTTGTCTAGTCACTTTAACCCTACCTACAGTATACTGCTGTTACTGTCTATTATCTATCCTGTTGTCTAGTCACTTTAACCCCTACCTACAGTATACTGCTGCTACTGTCTATTATCTATCCTGTTGTCTAGTCACTTTACCCCTACCTACAGTATACTGCTGCTACTGTCTATTATCTATCCTGTTGTCTAGTCACTTTACCCCTACCTACAGTATACTGCTGTTACTGTCTATTATCTATCTGTTTGTCCTAGTCCACTTTACCCCTACCTACAGTATACTGCTGCTACTGTCTATTATCTATCCTGTTGTCTAGTCACTTTAACCCCTACCTACAGTATACTGCTGCTACTGTCTATTATCTATCCTGTTGTCTAGTCACTTTACCCCTACTACAGTATACTGCTGCTACTGTCTATTATCTATCCTGTTGTCTAGTCACTTTACCCCTACCTACAGTATACTGCTGCTACTGTCTATTATCTATCCTGTTGTCTAGTCACTTTACCCCTACCTATATGTACATATCTACTTCAATTACCTCGTACCCCTACACATCGTCTCGGTACTGGTACCCTGTGTATATAGCCAAGTTATTACCTCGTACCCCTGCACATCGTCTCGGTACTGGTATCCTGTGTATATAGCCAAGTTATTACCTCGTACCCCTGCACATCGTCTCGGTACTGGTACCCTGTGTATATAGCCTAGTTATTACCTCGTACCCCTGCACATCGTCTCGGTACTGGTACCCTGTGTATATAGCCAAGTTATTACCTCGTACCCCTGCACATCGTATCGGTACTGGTACCCTGTGTATATAGCCTAGTTATTACCTCGTACCCCTGCACATCGTCTCGGTACTGGTACCCTGTGTATATAGCCTAGTTATTACCTCGTACCCTGTGTATATAGCCAAGTTATCGTTACTCTGTGTATTTATTCCTTTTATTTTTTCTATAATTTGTCTCTATTTTTCTGTCTGTATTGTTGAGAACGGCCCGTAAGAATTTCAATGTTAGTCTACACCTGTTGTTTACCAAGCATGTGACAAATAACATTTGATTTGATTTGACAGCACAAACTGATCAAGGACCAGGCTATTCTCTGTGTTCTCTTCTCTGTGTTCTATTCTCTGTGTTCTCTTCTCTGTGTTCTCTTCTCTGTGTTCTATTCTCTGTGTTCTATTCTCTGTGTTCCATTATCTGTGTTCCATTATCTGTGTTCTATTCTCTGTGTTCTATTCTCTGTGTTCTCTTCTCTGTGTTCTATTCTCTGTGTTCTCTTCTCTGTGTTCTCTTCTCTGTGTTCTATTCTCTGTGTTCTATTCTCTGTGTTCCATTATCTGTGTTCCATTATCTGTGTTCTATTCTCTGTGTTCTATTCTCTGTGTTCTCTTATCTGTGTTCCATTATCTGTGTTCTATTCTCTGTAAATCTATCTGACAGGCTGAACGCTCACCTCTCGAACTTGGCGAGTACGTCAGCCACGATGACTCTGCTCTCCACAGCCCGGTCCATAGCGTTGTTGTGTTCAAACAGGGCAAACATGTTTCTACTGTCCTCCATGGCCAGGCCTCGGATCAACTTCTCCACCACCTGGGGACAGGCAGGACAGAGGGACAATAAGACATCTGACTAAACCTAACCACCTGGACACCGCAAAGCACACAGAGATACTTAAAGGGGCAATCTGGGATTTAAAAAACAACTAAACTGACACCCCGCCACTAAACAGCTGAGGGAGGGGGGTGGAGAAGGGGGTGGAGAAAGTTGATGTATGGATTGCCCCTGGCAAAAATTCCTGTATTTTTACAGCTACTACTCCTTGTGGAAAACATACTTTTTCTTGTATAATCCACAGAACTGGACATACGACAGAACAGCGCGTCAGAGCAGAGCAGCATTAGTTACCTCTCCGGCGGTGGTGTGTGAGTTGATGGAGATCTTGCAGGATCCTCCTCCGTGGCAATAGACCGTAGTAGCCATTTCCTGCCTGGTCAGTAGGGCTACGATCTCCTCCTGAGACGGAACATACTCCCTGACCTTGGTCCTCTTCAGAGACTCACCTATGAAATGGGCAAACATGTCCACCTCTGTTCCAGGAAACTGCTCCTTCACCCTGGAGAAGAACACACAAACAGGCAGAGGGTTACTGAGGTGGAGGATGAGCATACAAATCAATCATAGAAAATACGGCACTTTTTACTAGAAGCTATAGGAAGGGAACACATACTGCTAACTAGAAGCTATAGGAAGGGAACACATTCTGCTAACTAGAAGCTATAGGAAGGGAACACATTCTGCTAACTAGAAGCTATAGGAAGGGAACACATTCTGCTAACTAGAAGCTATAGGAAGGGAACACATTCTGCTAACTAGAAGCTATAGGAAGGGAACACATACTGCTAACTAGAAGCTATAGGAAGGGAACACATTCTGCTAACTAGAAGCTATAGGAAGGGAACACATTCTGCTAACTAGAAGCTATAGGAAGGGAACACATTCTGCTAACTAGAAGCTATAGGAAGGGAACACATTCTGCTAAATAGAAGCTATAGGAAGGGAACACATTCTGCTAACTAGAAGCTATAGGAAGGGAACACATTCTGCTAACTAGAAGCTATAGGAAGGGAACACATTCTGCTAACTAGAAGCTATAGGAAGGGAACACATTCTGCTAACTAGAAGCTATAGGAAGGGAACACATTCTGCTAACTAGAAGCTATAGGAAGGGAACACATTCTGCTAACTAGAAGCTATAGGAAGGGAACACATTCTGCTAACTAGAAGCTATAGGAAGGGAACACATTCTGCTAACTAGAAGCTATAGGAAGGGAACACATTCCTCTTGAGGCTCTGAGAATAACATTGATGTTGAATTTGAACACGGACACGTGTTCCCACTATTAAAACCTACCCGTTTTGAGGATAACACAGTGCCACCGACGCGGCCTGCTCCCGAGGACTGTGTGCTCTCGTTCTGCGTTCCCGATGTGAGTAAGACATTAAAGCGCGTTAACCCTTACAAGGCTGCCGGCCCAGACGGCATCCCTAGCCGCGTCCTCAGAGCATGCGCAGACCAGCTGGCTGGATTGTTTACGGACATATTCAATCTCTCCCTATCCCAGTCTGCTGTCCCCACTTGCTTCAAGATGGCCACCATTGTTCCTGTACCCAAGAAAGCAAAGGTAACTGAACTAAATGACTATCGCCCTGTAGCACTCACCTCTGTCATCATAAAGAAGCTAGTTGCTTCGAGAAGCTAGTTAAGGATCATATCACCTCTACCTTACCTGTCACCCTAGACCCACTTCAATTTGCATACCGCCCCAATAGATCCACAGATGATGCAATCGCCATCGCACTGCATGCTGTTCATTGACTATAGCTCAGCATTCAACACCATAGTACCCTCCAAGCTCATCATTAAGCTCAAGGACCTGTGTCTGAACCCCGCCCTGTGCAACTGGGTCCTGGACTTCCTGATGGGCCGCCCCCAGGTGGTGAAGGTAGGAAACAACATCTCCACTTCGCTGATCCTCAACACTGGGGCCCCACAAGGGTGTGTGCTCAACCCCCTCCTGTACTCCCTGTTCACCCATGACTGCGTGGCCAAGCACGCCTCCAACTCAATCATCAGGTTTGCAGATGACACAACAGTAGTAGGCCTGATTACCAACAATGACGAGACAGCCTACAGGGAGGAGGTGAGGGCTCTGGGAGTGTGGTGCCAGGAAAATAACCTCTCCCTCAACGTCAACAAAACAAAGGAGATGATCGTGGACTTCAGGAGACAGCAGAGAGAGCATGCCCCTATCCACATCGACAAGACCGCAGTGGAGAAGGTGAAAAGCTTCAAGTTCCTCGGCGTACACATCACCCACAATCTTCAGGAGGCTGAAGAAATCGGCTTGGCCCCTAAGACCCTCACAAACCTTTACAGATGCACCATTGAGAGCATCCTGTCGGGCTGTATCACCGCCTGGTACGGCAACTGCACCGCTCGCAACCACAGGGCTCTCCAAAGGGTGGTGTGGTCTGCCCAACGCATCACCGGGGGCAAACTACCTGCCCTCCAGGACACCTACAGCACCCAATGTCACAGGACGGCCAAAAAGATAATCAAGGACATCAACCACCCGAGCCACGGCCTGTTCACCCCGCTATCATCCTGAAGGCGAGGTCAGTACAGGTGCATCAAAGCTGGCACAGAGAGGCTGAAAAACACCTTCTATCACAAGGCCATCAGACTGTTAAATAGCCACCACTAGCCGGCTACCCCCCGGCTACTCAACCCTGCACCTTAGAGGCTGCTGCCCTATGTACATAGACATGGAATCACTGGCCACTTTAATAATGGAACACTGGCCACTTTAATAATGTTTACATACAGTTTTACTCATTTCATATGTATATACTGCATTCTCTACTGTATTCTAGTCAATGCCATTCCGACATTGCTCATCCTAATATTTATGTATTTCTTAATTCCATTCTTTTACTTTTAGATGTGTGTGTATTGTTGTGAATTGTTAGATACTACTGCACTGTTGGAGCTAGGAACACAAGCATTTCGCTACACCCGCAAAACATCTGCTAAATATGTGTATGTGACCAATAACATTTGATTTGATTTGATAAGTGTAAGAAATAGACTACTGGGGTATTCAATAAATAAGTTGTTTCATCTAACATTTCCAAGCAAGAATGCATGATTCCATATATTTTGATGTGCAACCTAATCCACTGATTGTCATGAATTTTGGGTTGACAATTAGACTATAGTTAACTCCAAAAAGTTTTGGGACACTGTAAAGTCCATGGAGAATAAGAGCACCTCCTCCCAACTGCCCACTGCACTGAGGCTAGGAAACACTGTCACCACGATAAATCTACAATAATCGAGAATTTCAACAAGCATTTTGCTACGGCTGGCCATGCTTTCCACCTGGCTACCACTACCCCGGCCACCAGCTCTGCACCCTCCGCTGCAACTTGCCCATACCCCCCCTGCTTCTCCCTCACTCAAATTCAGACAGCAGATGTTCTGAAAGAGCTGCACAATCTGGACCCCTACAAATCAGCTGGGCTAGACAATCTGGACCCTTTCTTTCTAAAATTAGCAGCCGAAATTGTAGCAACCCCTATTACTAGCCTGTTCAACCTCTCTTTCGTATCATCTGAGATCTCCAGAGATTGGAAAGCTGCCGCGGTCATCCCCCTCTTCAAAGGGGGTGACACTCTAGATCCAAACTGTTACAGACCTATATCCATCCTGCCCTGCCTTTCGAAACTATTTGAAAGCCAAGTTAACAAACAGATCACCGACCATTTCGAATCCCACCGTACCTTCTCCGCTATGCAATCCGGTTTCCAAGCTGGTCATGGGTGCACCTCAGCCATGCTCAAGGTCCTAAACGATATTATTAACGCGATCGATAAAAGACAGTACTGTGCAGCCGTCTTCATCGACCTGGCCAAGGCTTTCGACTCTGTCAACCACCGCATTCTTATTGGCAGACTAAATAGCCTTGGTTTCTTTAATGACTGCCTCGCCTGGTTCACCAACTACTTCTCAGATAGAGTTAAATGTGTCAAATCGGAGGGCCTGTTGTCTGGACCTCTGGCAGTCTCTATGGGGGTGCCACAGGGTTCAATTCTCGGTCCGACTCTATTCTCTGTGTATATCAATGATGCCGCTCTTGCTGCTGGTGACTCTCAGATCCACCTCAACGCAGACAACACCATTTTGTATACATCTGGCCCTTCATTGGACACTGTGTTAACAAACCTCCAAACGAGCGTCAATGCCATACAACACTCCTTCCGTAGCCTCCAACTGCTCTTAAACACTAGTAAAACTAAATGCATGCTCTTCAACCGAACGCTGCTTGCACCCGCCCACCCGACTAGAATCATTACTCTCGGCGGGTCTGACCTAGAGTATGTGGACAACTACAAATACCTAGGTGTCTGGTTAGACTGTAAACTCTCCTTCCAGACTCACATTAAGCATCTCCAATCAAAAGTTAGATCTAGAATCGGCTTCCTATTTCGCAACAAAGCCTCCTTCACTCATGCTGCCAAACATGCCCTCGTAAAACTGACTATCCTACCGATCCTTGACTTCGGCGATGTCATTTACAAAATAGCCTCCAACACCCTACTCAGAAAATTGGATGTAGTCTATCACAGTGCCATCCGTTTTGTCACCAAAGCCCCATACACTACCCACCACTGTGACCTGTACGCTCTTGTTGGCTGGCCCTCACTACATATTCGTCGCCAAACCCACTGGCTCCAGGTCATCTATAAATCACTGCTAGGCAAATCCCGGTCTTATCTTAGCTCATTGGTCACCATAGCAACACCCACCCGTAGTCTGCGCTCCAGCAGGTATATCTCACTGGTCATCCCCAAAGCCAACACCTCCTTTGGCCGCCATTCCTTCCAGTTCTCTGCTGCCAATGACTGGAACGAATTGCAAAAATCTCTGAAGCTGGAGACTCTTATCTCCCTCACTAACTTTAAGCATCAGTTGTCAGAGCACCTTACCGATCACTGCACCTGTACACAGCCCATCTGAAATTAGCGCACCCAACTACCTCATCCCTATATTGTTATTTATTTTGCTCATTTGCACCCCAGTTTCTCTATTTGCACATCATCTTCTGCACATCTATCACTCCAGTGTTAATACTCAATTGTAATTATTTTGCACTATGGCCTATTTATTGCCTTACCTCCATAACTTGCTACATTTGCACACACTGTATATAGATTTTCTGTTGTATTTTTGACATTATGTTTTGTTTTACCCCATATGTAACTCTGTGTTGTTGTTTTTATCGCACTGCTTTGCTTTATCTTGGCCAGGTCGCAGTTGTAAATGAGAACTTGTTCTCAACTGGCTTACCTGGTTAAATAAAAAAATTAAAAAAATAGATAAATCATATTTGACAGTCAAAAAAGGACTCCAGAATTTCCAGATTTTTTTTGTTCAATAGAGATGAATTACATACATCTTTATGTACACTAACTAATATCATAGGCTAATTAAGTTGGGATTCACCACCTGAGGAAGTGGAAACATGAATTACAGTAAATATAATACGCACTGCTAGTAGCCATGCATTCATCCAACAGTAAGTTGAATGTCCTAAAGAAACGTGCAGTTATAGGAGTCCTATAGTGGCTTGTGAAAGTATTCACCCCACTTGCCATTTTTCCTATTTTGTTGCCTTACAACCTGGAATTTTTGGGGGGTTGTATCATTTGATTAACACCACATGCCTACCACTTTGAAGATGCAAAATATTTTTTATCGTGAAACAAACAAGAAAATAAGACAACAAAACAGACAACTTGAGCGTGCATAACTATTCACCCCCACCAAAGTCAATACTTTGTAGAGCCACCTTTTGCAGCAATTACAGCTGCAAGTCTCTTGGGGTATGTCTCTATAAGCTTGGCACATCTAGCCACTGGGATTTTTGCCCATTCTTCAAGGCAAAACTGCTCCAGCTCCTTCAAGTTGGATGGGTTCCGCTGGTGTACAGCAATCTTTAAGTCATACCACAGATTCCCAATTGGATTGAGGTCTGGGCTTTGACTAGGCCATTCCAATATATCTTAATGTTTCCCCTTAAACCACTCGAGTGTTGCTTTAGCAGTATGCTTAGGGTCATTGTCCTGCTGGAAGGTGAACCTCCGTCCAAGTCTCAAATCTCTGGAAGACTGAAACAGGTTTCCCTCAAGAATTTCCCTGTATTTAGCGCCATCCATCATTCCTTCAATTCTGACCAGCTTCCCAGTCCCTGCCGATGAAAAACATCCTCACAGCATGATGCTGCCACCACCATGCTTCACTGTGGGGATGGTGTTCTCAGGTTGATGAGAGGTGTTGGGTTTGCTCCAGACATAGCGTTTTCCTTGATGGCCAAAAAGCTCAATTTTAGACTCATCTGACCAGAGTACCTTCTTCCATTTGTTTGGGGAGTCTCCCACATGCCTTTTGGCAAACACCAAACGTGTTTGCTTATTTTTTTTATTTAAGCAATGGCTTTTTTCTGGCCACTCTTCCGTAAAGCCCAGCTCTGTGGAGTGTACGGCTTAAAGTGGTCCTATGGACAGATACTCCAATCTCCGCTGTGGAGCTTTGCAGCTCCTTCAGGGTTATCTTTGGTGTCTTTTTTGCCTCTCTGATTAATGCCCTCCTTGACTGGTTCGTGAGTTTTGGTGGGCGGCCCTCTCTTGGCAGGTTCGTTGTGGTGCCATATTCTTTCCATTTTTTAATAATGGATTTAATGGTGCTCCGTGGGATGTTCAAAGTTTCTGATATTTTTTTATAAACCAACCCTGATCTGTACTTCTCCACAACTTTGTCCCTGACCTGTTTGGAGAGCTCCTTGGTCTTCATGGTGCCCCTTGCTTAGTGGTGTTGCAGACTCTGGGGCCTTTCAGAACAGGTGTTTTGAAACAAGTTATTTTTTTAATTTCACTTCACCAATTTGGACTATTTTGTGTCTGTCCATTACATGAAATCCAAATAAAAATCCATTTAAATTACAGGTTGTAATGCAACAAAATAGGAAAAACGGCAAGGGGGATGAATACTTTTGCAAGGCGCTGTACAGGCCAGTGCGCATTTTTCACGTGCGCCGCTCCATATCTCAAAGCCAATTTAAGTCATATCAAATATCTTGGTTTTAAAATAGTTGCTATTGAGCTGAATTTTGAGAGTTGAGAAAAAATATATACCTACAGAAAGCTGAGACCCTCCTCTCTTCAACAGGGACAAGGGGATGAAGCGTCCAACGCTGTGTTTTCCCAGCAATTGCGTTTTGAAATGTTATATGCATAGAACTTGAGGTAAAAGTACCTTTTAAGGTGGAACTTGTGGTAAAAGTACCCTTTGAGGTGGAACCTGAGGTAAAAGTACCCTTTAAGTTGGAACTTGTGGTAAAAGTACCTTTTACGGTGGTACTTGAGGTAAAAGTACCTTTTAAGGTGGAACCTGAGGTAAAAGTACCTTTTAAGGTGGAACCTGAGGTAGCGCACGATGCCCCGGCTGGGCAGGAAGGTACAGCTCATACAGGTGAGGAGGTGCCAGTGGGCACGATTGGCTGAGCTGTTGGGCTGAGGCACGTGATTGGTCTGTTTGATGAGCTGGCAGTAGACCTCGTCTCGGAGCAGGCGCAGGTCGTGGCAGGTCTGGAGGATGCCCTGGATGATCGGGACCGGGTCGGACACTGCCTCCATCTCCTGCAGAGAGTTGAAGATCTTCACTGCCTCGTCCTGCAGGCTGGCATAGCCCTTCTCCTTTTGGACTGTGGAGAGAGGGAGGGGAGAGAGAGAGAGAGAGAGAGTGAAAGAGAAAGAGAGAGTTACGGTGGTCACTGCTTTACGCATTTAATTTCTAGCAGAATGGTTGATACAATTGTAGTCAACTATATGCTTGAGACCCTTTGCTCCACTAGGAGCTAAAATAAGTAAATCAAGTCCTTGCAGTGTAAAATATAAACTAGCTGTAGTCTTATAGGTGAACAACTCACGGTGGATGTTGACCTCCCCGTAAGGTAGAGGCAGCAGGGGGGAGTGGAGGGGGTGCTGGGTATATCTGAGGATAGGGTTCCTCCAGTACATCTGTTCCACAGCCTCCACGTTCAGACTGCTCTCCTGGGGGGGACAAAGGTCAGGGGTTACAGGTCAAAAGTCAGAGGTATGCCTCTATTTCCTTCATCATCACTAGCATCTCTTGAGCCTGGTCCCTCTCTCTGTAGGCACAATATAACAATGACATAGAAGTTGGCAAGATAGGACAAACAGATCTGGGACCAGGCTTCATCTGACATAAAATGACCACATCTCAGTATGCAGGCTGGTGATTGGCTGTACCTTGATGTCCCTGATGAGTTGCTGTGTGGGTGTCTCTATGGGAACCTTGCTGTCGATAACCCCCTGCATGGCCGACGCCCAGCGCATAGCCTCGTTCAGTAGTTTGGTGTAGAGGTGGTACGAGTGTTTACGGCCGTGGACGACGATGCTCCAGTAACCTGGGGGGGAGAGACAGGAAGGAAGTTTAAGATTTTGCATCACAAAAAAAAAATGGCACCCTTTTTCCTATGTAGTTCACTATTTTGACACATACTGAGTGATTCAAGTAGCATTCAAGTAGTAGGATAGCACAGCATTCTTAGGGTGATATATATCTACAGTGCCTTCGGAAAGTATTCAGACCCCTTGACTTTTTCCACATTTTGTTAAGTTACAGCCTTATTCTAAAATTCATTAAATCGTTTTTTCCCCTCATCAATCTACACACAATACCCCATGATGTCAAAGCAAAAACAGTTTTTTAGAAATGTTTGCAAATGTATTAAAAATAAAAAACGGAAAAATCACATTTACATACGTTTTCAGACCATTTACTCAGTACTTTGTTGAAGCACCTTTGGCAGCGATTACAGCCTCGAGTCTTCTTGGGTATGATGCTACAAGCTTGGCACACCTATTTGGGGAGTTTCTCCCATTCCTCTCTGCAGATCCTCTCAAGATCTGTCAGGTTGGATGGGGAGCGTCGCTGCACAACTATTTTCAGGTCTCTCCAGAGATGTTTGATCAGGTTCAAGTCCGGGCTCTGGCTCGGCCACTCAAGGACATTCAGAGACTTTGTCCCGAAGCCACTCCTGCGTTGTCTTGGCTGTGTGCTTAGGGTTGTTGTGCTGTTGGAAAGTGAACCTTCGCCCCAGTCTGATGTCCTGAGCGCTCTGGAGCAGGTTTTCATCAAGGATCGCTCTGTACTTTGCTCCGTTCATCTTTCCCTCGATCCTGACTAGTCTCCCAGTCCCTGCCGCTGAAAAACATCCCCACAGCATGATGCTGCCACCACCATGCTTCACCATAGGGATGGTGCCAGGTTTTATCCAGACGTGATGCTTGGCATTCAGGCCAAAGAGTTCAATCTTGGTTTCATCAGACCAGAGAATCTTGTTTTTCATGGTCTGAGAGTCTTTAGGTGCCTTTTGGCAAACTCCAAGTGGGCTGTCATGTGCCTTTTACTGAGGAGTGGCTTCCGTCTGGCCACTTCACCATAAAGGCCTGATTGGTGGAGTGCTGCAGAGATGGTTGTCCTTCTGGAAGGTTCTCCCATTTCCACAGAGGAACTCTAGAGCTCTGTCAGAGTGACCATCGGGTTCTTGGTCACCTCCCTGACCAAGGCCCTTCTCCCCCGTTTGCTCCATTTGGCCGGGTGGCCAGCTATAGGAGGAGACTTGGTGGTTCCAAAGTTCTTCCATTCAAGAATGATGGAGGCCACTGTGTTCTTGGGGACCTTCAATGCTGCAGACATTTTTTTCTCGGAGCTCCAAGGACAATTCCTTCGACCTCATGGCTTGGTTTTTGCTCTGACATGCACTGTCAACTGTGGGACCTTATATAGACAGGTGTGTGCCTTTCCAAATCATGTCCAATCAATTGAATCTACCACAGAGGACTCCAATCAAGTTGTAGAAACATCTGAAGAATGATCAATGGGAACAGGATGCACCTGAGCTCAATTTCGAGTCTCATAGCAAAGGGTCTGAATACTTATGTAACTAAGGTATTTCTGTTTTTTACTTTTAGTGAATTAGCAAAAGTTTCTAAAAACCTGTTTTCGCTTTGTTATTACGGGGTATTGTGTATAGACTGCTGAGGATTTTTATTTATTTAATCCATTGTAGAATAAGGCTGTAACGTAACAGAATGTGGAAAAGGTCAAGGGGTCTGAATACTTTCCGAAGGCACTGTATATATGTGATGATATGGTGGACAGATACATACTTGATGGAATGCATTAGCCTGGTCCCAGATGTGTTTGTGTTGTCTTGACAACTCCTATGGTCATTGTGACTAATAGGAGATGGCAAGACAGCAAAAACACATCTGGGACCAGGCTAGAAATGCATTGTGCAGCACAGACCACTACTCTCCTAAATGGAACCTTACTGCCTACATAGCACACTACTTTTGACCAGAGTCGTATTCTCTGTCTCTACCTACCTGTGTCCTTGAAGACCTTCTCGTCGGGCTGGACCACAGAGCAGAGACTGTTGAGGACCAGGGTCCCCAGCTTGGACATACTGCGCTCTGAAGACTTGTAGTAGTCCAGAGAGTTCGAGGTTAAAACAAACCATCTCTTCTTCAGCTTCAGATTAGTGCTCTTAGCCCTGATCTCCTTGTGTAGCCAACCTGGGAAGAGAGAGAGAAGGGTTAACTATGAGGACACTAAGGTTATGTCCCGTACTGAGAACAGACCACAAACTGACTGTAGAAATAATGATACAGTATATTACATTTACATTTTAGTCATTTAGCAGACGCTCTTATCCAGAGCGACTTACAGTTAGTGAATACATTTTTTTTTTTTTATACTGGCCCCCCGTGGGAATCGAACCCACAACCCTGGCATTGCAAATGCCATGCTCTATCAACTAAGCTACATCCCTGCCGGCCATTCCCTCCCCTACCCTGGACGACGCTGGGCCAATTGTGCGCCGCCCATGAGTCTCCCGGTCACGGCCGGCTGCGACAGAGCCTGGATTCGAACCAGGATCTCTAGTGGCACAGTTAGCACTGCGATGCAGTGCCTTAGACCACTGCGCCACTCAGGAGACATTGGCATATCTATTATAAGATAATCTTTTTCAAAAGGGTAACTCCACTTTTTGCTCAAGTACTGCCCAGTGTAATATCACCTTACAGACACCATACAGGTAATTATGGGTCAGAATGGATACAGGTAAGAATGGATACAGGTACGTATGGGTAAGAATGGATACAGATAAGAATGGATACAGGTAAGAATGGATAAGAATGGATACAGGTTTGTATGGATAAGAATGGATACAAGTACGTATCGATAATGGATACAGGTACGTATGGATAAGAATGGATACAGATAAGAATGGATACAGGTAAGAATGGATAAGAATGGATACAGGTACGTATGGGTAAGAATGGATACAGGTAAGAATGGATAAGAATGGATACAGGTAAGAATGGATAAGAATGGATACAGGTAAGAATGGATAAGAATGGATACAGGTAAGAATGGATAAGAATGGATACAGGTAAGAATGGATAAGAATGGATACAGGTAAGAATGGATAAGAATGGATACAGGTTGTATGGATAAGAATGGATACAAGTATGTATCGATAAGAATGGATACAGGTACGTATGGGTAAGAATGGATACAGATAAGAATGGATACAGGTAAGAATGGATAAGAATGGATACAGGTTTGTATGGATAAGAATGGATACAAGTACGTATCGATAATGGATACAGGTACGTATGGATAAGAATGGATACAGATAAGAATGGATACAAGTACGTATCAATAAGAATGGATACAGGTACGTATGGGTAAGAATGGATACAGGTAAGAATGGATAAGAATGGATACAGGTAAGAATGGATAAGAATGGATACAGGTAAGAATGGATAAGAATGGATACAGGTAAGAATGGATAAGAATGGATACAGGTAAGAATGGATAAGAATGGATACAGGTAAGAATGGATAAGAATGGATACAGGTAAGAATGGATAAGAATGGATACAGGTTGTATGGATAAGAATGGATACAAGTATGTATCGATAAGAATGGATACAGGTACGTATGGGTAAGAATGGATACAGATAAGAATGGATACAGGTAAGAATGGATAAGAATGGATACAGGTTTGTATGGATAAGAATGGATACAAGTACGTATCGATAATGGATACAGGTACGTATGGATAAGAATGGATACAGATAAGAATGGATACAGGTAAGAATGGATAAGAATGGATACAGGTTTGTATGGATAAGAATGGATACAAGTACGTATCGATAAGAATGGATACAGGTTCGTATGGATAAGAATGGATACAGGTAAGAATGGATACAGGTAAGAATGGATACAGGTACGTATGGATAAGAATGGATACAGGTAAGAATGGATACAGGTAAGAATGGATACAGGTACGTATGGGTACAGGTGAGTATGTCACTAACCTCTGACGAGGAAATCCTGTCCGTCTATTCTGGCGTCTCCTTTAGGTTTCTGCAGCAGGCCGATCCAGTGGTGCATCTCTTCAGGCATCTCAGTGTTGCAGTGGATAACACGGTTAGCAGTGATGATAACAAACGAGTTGGGTCTGTCTGGGTTGTCTGAGGCGCACACAGAGTCGATCAGTCCAACATCCACAGTTCCCTGCAAATATATTTTGAATACAGAATATTGTCATATTGTCAAACATCATGAACACTGCAAGTCTGTAACTCCTAGAGATGGCGATTGATTGATCGACAGTATGGTGGATAATTAATTAATTAGTCATGCTATCCCGTGTTTTACTACTTAGAGAATTGTCTCTGGTTATATGCTAGTGTTTCTAACCTGATACAAACTTGTCTTTGTGTGACTTAGTCATAAGACTGGGCGTATAGCTAAGATCCGTTTGGGTGTGACTGCAGCATGGGAGACATCCCGTGGTTTTACTATCTGCAGGAAGTCAGCTGAATGGAAACTTGCAGGAAGGAGCACATTATAGTGTGAGCTGTGACAAATATAGTTAGACGGTTGAGCCCTCGTGCTATCAACCTCGGGCTATCTTAATCTGCACAGACAAACCAATCGCCTTTTAACCTATGTTCCGCCCCTGTTTCCACATATCTACTAACTGCCACGTAGACAAAAGAGGTGGTACTCGGGCCTACCGAGTGGCGCAGTGGTCTAAGGCACTGCATCGCGGTGCTAGCTGTGCCACTAGAGATCCTGGTTCGAATCCAGGCTCTGTCGTAGCCGGCCGCGACCGGGAGACCCATGGGGCGGCGCACAATTGGTCCAGTGTAGGGGAGGGAATGGCCGGCAGGGATGTAGCTCAGTTGGTAGAGCATGGCGTTTGCAACGCCAGGGTTGTGGGTTCGATTCCCACGGGGGGCCAGTATGAAAAATTAAATAACGTATGCACTCACTAACTGTAAGTCGCTCTGGAAAAGAGCGTCTGCTAAATGACTAAAATGTAAATGTAAAATGTACTCTTTCTATAAAAGCTGAGAGACAACTCTATTCGTTGGGCTTTTCAACTCTGAACTATTTAAGTGATTGTTGATTGCTCAATTTTTGCAAATTCTATAATAAAGTTGGTGTTTGAAGAAATCTACAGTCTCTCTTCTTCTGGTTAGAATTTCCACCACAACAGACAGACAGATCGACAGACAGACAGAAATGTGTTGTTGTTGTCGCTGTTAATTTCATAATTTATACAGTGGGGAGAACAAGTATTTGATACACTGCCGATTTTGTAGGTTTTCCTACTTACAAAGCATGTAGAGGTCTGTAATTTTTATCATAGGTGCACTTCAACTGTGAGAAACTTGCAATAAAATGCAAATGAATTACTTAAAAATCATACAATGTGATTTTCTGGATTTTTGTTTTAGATTCCGTCTCTCACAGTTCTTAATTTTGAAGAAATTAATTTGTTCAAAACTGTTCAACTATTGTCTTTCTCTCTCTTTGAGTCAACTACTCACCACATTTTATGCACTGCAGTGCTAGCTAGCTGTAGCTTATGCTTTCAGTACTAGATTTATTCTCTGATCCTTTGATTGGGTGGACACAGGAGGCTTTTGAGGGGAAAATGGCCAGAATGGAGCAAATGGAATGGCATCAAACCCCTGGAAACCATGTGTTTGATGTATTTGATACCATTCCACTTCTCCCGCTCCAGTTTTTACCACAAGCCTGTTCTCCCCAATTAAGGTGCCACCAATCTCCTGTGGTGGACAACATGTCATTTCATGGTGCAAGAGCTCTGATAGGTTGGAGGACGACCTCCGGAAGTCGTCATAATTACTGTGTAAGTCTATGGAAGGGCGTGAGAAACATGAGCCTCCTATGTTTTGTATTGAAGTCAATGTACCCAGAGGAGGACGAAAAATAGCTGTCCTCCGGCTACACCATGGTGCTACCCTACAGAGGGTTGTTGAGGCTACTGTAGACCATTGCAAAACAGTGTGCTTTAATCAGTTATTTGGTGACATGTGAATATATTTAGAATAGTTTTATCTAAAAAGGATCACTTATAATATTTCACTGTTTTTATTCCTCCCCTTCCTCCTCTGAGGAGCCTCCCCTGATGTGATGGAGGGGATACTGACCACAGCGTTCTTGGGGTTTGCCTGCTCATGGTGTATCTCCATCAGCTGTTCTGGACTGGCACTGTGGACACGACTCAGCACGTTGAACCAGCCACTAGAGGGAGAGAATGAGGAGGAGAGAGGTAAGGATTCCACAGAGCAATACACTGGTGGACCACTAGGGGGAAATACAACATCTATACACTGGTGGACCACTAGGGGGTAATACAACATCTACACAACACTGGTGGACCACTAGGGGTAATACAACATCTATACATTATTTTCATAGCAGCATCAAAGGCCCATCTACCAGCTACTAACAGACCCATCTACCAGCTACTAACAGACCCATCTACCAGCTACTAACAGACCCATCCACCAGCTACTAACAGACCCATCTACCAGCTACTAACAGACCCATCTACCAGCCCTCACAGACCCATCCACCAGCTACTACAGACCCATCCCCATCTACTAACATACCCATCCACCAGCTACTAACAGACCCATCCACCAGCTACTAACAGACCCATCTACCAGCTACTAACAGACCCATCCCACTACTAACAAGACCCATCTACCAGCTACTAACAGACCCATCACCAGCTACTAACAGACCCCCCCTTAAACCCTACGAGTACTAACAGACCCATCTACCAGCTACTAACAGACCCATCTACCAGCTACTAACAGACCCATCACCAGCTACTAACAGACCCATCCACCAGCTACTAACAGACCCATCTACCAGCTACTAACAGACCCATCTACCAGCTACTAACAGACCCATCTACCAGCTACTAACAGACCATCACCAGCTACTAACAGACCCATCCACCAGCTACTAACAGACCCATCTACCAGCTACTAACAGACCCATCTACCAGCTACTAACAGACCCATCTACCAGCTACTAACAGACCCATCACCAGCTACTAACAGACCCATCTACCAGCTACTAACAGACCCATCTACCAGCTACTAACAGACCCATCTACCAGCTACTAACAGACCCATCTACAGCTACTAACAGACCCATCACCAGCTACTAACAGACCCATCTACGAGCTACTAACAGACCCATCTACCAGCTACTAACAGACCCATCTACCAGCTACTAACAGACCCATCTACCAGCTACTAACAGACCCATCTACCAGCTACTAACAGACCCATCACCAGCTACTAACAGACCCATCTACCAGCTACTAACAGACCCATCACCAGCTACGACATCACAGCACAACCATCCCAGCTACTAACAGACCCATCACCAGCTACTAACAGACCCATCTCACCAGCTACTAACAACCCATCCACCAGCTACTAACAGACCCATCCACCAGCTACTAACAGACCCATCCACCAGCTACTAACAGACCCTCTATCACTCTGTGTAAAGGCATGTTCTAACAGACTGCTGTCTGATTCTATAGTTCCATGGGTTGTAGATTAGACCCTGGACAGAAAGGGCTAGACCCTGGACAGAAGAGGGCTAGACCTGACAGAACAGGCTAGATCTGGACAGAAGAGGCTAGACCCTGGACAGAAGAGGCTAGACCCTGGACAGAAGGGCTAGACCCTGGACAGTAAGAGGGCTAGACCCTGGACAGAAGAGGGCTAGACCCTGGACAGAAGAGGGCTAGACCCTGGACAGAAGAGGGCTAGACCCTGGACAGAAGAGGGCTAGAGTCTGGACAGAAGAGGGCTAGACCCTGGACAGAAGAGGGCTAGACCCTGGACAGAAGAGGGCTAGACCCTGGACAGAAGAGGGCTAGACCCTGGACAGAAGAGGGCTAGAGTCTGGACAGAAGAGGGCTAGACCCTGGACAGAAGAGGGCTAGAGTCTGGACAGAAGAGGGTTAGAGTCTGAACTAGGGCTGTGGTGGTCATGACATGTTGTCAGCCGGTTATTGTCATGCAAAAGCCTGCTGGTCTCATGGTAATTGACTGTAAATTAACATAAACATGTTTGGCATCTCCAGGCTCCACTCATACAAGCCTCTGATGCATATGATAGCTGTCCTCCGGCCACAGCATGGTGCTACCCTAGAGCTACCCTAGAGCATGGTGCTACCCTAGAGTGTGCTGCGGAGGCTACTGGAGACCATTGCAAAACAGTGTGCTTTAATCAGTTATTTGGTGACGTGAATATATTTAGAATAGTTTTATCTAAAAAGGATCACTTTTAATATTTCACTGTTTTTATTCCTCCTCTGAGGAGCCTCCACTGATGTGATGGAGGGGATACTGACCACAGCGTTCTTGGGGTTTGCCTGCTCATGGTGTATCTGCATCAGCTGTTCTGGACTGGCACTGTGGACACGACTCAGCAAAGAAAAAGCCATATCTCAGACTGCCCATCTTAATCTTTTCTTTTTATTGGCCAGTCTGAGATATGGCTTTTTCTTTGCAACTCTGCCTAGAAGGTCAGCATCCCGGAGTCGCCTCTTCACTGTTGACGTTGAGACTGGTGTTTTGCGGGTACTTTTTAATGAAGCTGCCAGTTGAGGACCTGTGAGGCGTCTGTTTCTCAAACTAGACACTCTAATGTATTTGTCCTCTTGCTCAGTTGTGCACCGGGGCCTCCCACTCCTCTTTCTATTCTGGTTAGAGACAGTTTGCGCTGTTCTGTGAAGGGAGTTATACACAGCGTTGTACGAGATCATCAGTTTCTTGGCAATTTCTCGCATGGAATAGCCTTCATTTCTCAGAACAAGAATAGACTGATGAGTTTCAGAATAAAGTTATTTGTTTCTGGCCATTTTGAGCCTGTAATCGAACCCAGAATTGCTGATGCTCCAGATACTCAACTAGTCTCAAGAAGGCCAGTTTTATTGCTTCTTTAATCAGCACAACAGTTTTCAGCTGTGCTAACATAATTGCAAAAGGGTTTTCTAATTATCAATTTGCCTTTTAAAATGATAAACTTGGATTAGCAAACACAACGTGCCATTGGAGCACAGGACTGATGGTTGCTGATAATGGGCCTCTGTACGCCTATGTAGATATTCCATTAAAAATCAGCCATTTCCAGCTACAATAGCCATTTACAACATTAACAATGTCTACACTCTATTTCTGATCAATTTTATGTTATTTTAATGGACAAAAAATTCCTCTTCTTTCAAAAACAAGGACATTCCTAAGTGACCCCAAACTTTTGAATGGTAGTGTATATATATATATATATATATGGGCTGCATGATGCGATTATAGGCTATTGATGACTTGAGAAAGTCGCAAAAAAAAGTGTGCTCTGTTCCTTGCCTCAGGCTGTACACGCTGTTCTCTCATCAAGTGATCATATTATCACCCATCAGACTTTTCTCAATTTAATCTTGTCTTTACTAATATGTACAATTAGTTTAGATTTAGAATGGCCCATTATCAAATGGGCAGGACCAGGGGCAGGGGAAATCTGGCTCCTGAGTGGTGCAGTGGTCTAAGGCGCTGCATCGCAGTGCAAACTGTGCCACTAGAGATCCTGGTTCGAATCCAGGCTCTGTCGCAGCCGGCCGCGACCGGGAGACTCATGGGCGGCGCACAATTGGCCCAGCGTTGTCCAGGGTAGGGGAGGGAATGGCCGGCAGGGATGTAGCTCAGTTGATAGAGCATGGTGTTTGCAACACCAGGGTTGTGGGTTCGATTCCCACGGGGGGCCAGTATAAAAAAATATGTATTCAGTAACTGTAAGTCGCTCTGGATAAGAGCGTCTGCTAAATGACTAAAATGTAAATGTAAAACCGACTTGTCATCCGTATGTACTGGAGAAGCGAATGGAGGCCACATAATTTTAATTCAGGTTTTTTTTTCGGCCTTGGGCTCATATACAGGCCCTTGCTTATGCATAAGCTGTAATATCCGTAAGGGTGTTTTGAATGAATCATTACCTTAGAAAGCGCTGTCCATTTCATTGTTAGGCTTTGAAACAACATCCCCAACAACCATGTTTTACACTGTTCTTTCTTCAAATCTTTCTTCAATCACATACTGTTTTGATTATGTGTTTGATTTGATTTTCAATTGCATTTGTAGTGATGACAGAGTGGTCAGAGGGACAATAGAGCCCTGAGTACCGGGCCATTAGGACCTGATGGTTAGAGGGACAATAGAGCCCTGAGTACCAGGCCATTAGGACCTGATGGTTAGAGGGACAATAGAGCCCTGAGTACCAGGCCATTAGGACCTGATGGTTAGAGGGACAATAGAGCCCTGAGTACCAGGCCATTAGGACCTGATGGTTAGAGGGACAATAGAGCCCTGAGTACCAGGCCATTAGGACCTGATGGTTAGAGGGACAATAGAGCCCTGAGTACCAGGCCATTAGGACCTGATGGTTAGAGGGCCAATAGAGCCCTGAGTACCAGGCCATTAGGACCTGATGGTTAGAGGGCCAATAGAGCCCTGAGTACCAGGCCATTAGGACCTGATGGTTAGAGGGACAATAGAGCCCTGAGTACCAGGCCATTAGGACCTGATGGTTAGAGGGACAATAGAGCCCTGAGTACCAGGCCATTAGGACCCGATGGTTAGAGGGACAATAGCCCTGAGTACCAGGCCATCAGGACCAGATGGTTAGAGGGACAATAGAGCCCTGAGTACCAGGCCATCAGGACCTGATGGTTAGAGGGACAATAGGGCCCTGAGTACCAGGCCATCAGGACCTGATGGTTAGAGGGCCAATAGAGCCCTGAGTACCAGGCCATCAGGACCTGATGGTTAGAGGGCCAATAGAGCCCTGAGTACCAGGCCATTAGGACCTGATGGTTAGAGGGCCAATAGAGCCCTGAGTCCCAGGCCATTAGGACCGATGGTTAGAGGGCCAATAGAGGCCCTGAGTTCCCATGGCCATCCAGGACCTGATGGTTAGAGGGCCAATAGAGCCCTGAGTACCAGGCCATTAGGAACCTGATGGTTAGAGGGGCCAATAGATCCCTGAGTACCAGGCCCATTAGGACCTGATGGTCAGAGGGCCCAATAGGAGCCCTGAGTACCAAGGCCATCAGGACCTGATGGTCAGAGGGCCAATAGAGCCCTGAGTCCCAGGCCATCAGGACCTGATGGTAGTTAGTGAGTTGGGTAGGCTACGAGGAGATTACCGTGACTCAACAGTCATGTAGAATTTTACTGCGGTAATGAATCATGACTGCCGGTGTGCTGTCGTAGTCTGAACCTACCTGGCGTCTTCAGGAGTCTCTGAACATACCTGGCGTCTTCAGGAGTTCTTCTGAAACCATACCTGGCGTCTTCAGGAGTCTCTGAACCTACCTGGCGTCTTCAGGTAGGCTCTGACCTACCTGGTCGTCTTCAGGAGTCTCTGAACCTACCTGGCGTCTTCAGGAGTCTCTGAACCTACCTGGCGTCTTCAGGAGTCTCTGAACCTACCTGGCGTCTTCAGGAGTCTCTGAACCTACCTGGCGTCTTCAGGAGTCTCTGAACCTACCTGGCGTCTTCAGGAGTCTCTGAACCTACCTGGCGTCTTCAGGAGTCTCTGAACCTACCTGGCGTCTTCAGGAGTCTCTGAACCTACCTGGCGTCTTCAGGAGTCTCTGAACCTACCTGGCGTCTTCAGGAGTCTCTGAACCTACCTGGCGTCTTCAGGAGTCTCTGAACCTACCTGGCGTCTTCAGGAGTCTCTGAACCTACCTGGCGTCTTCAGGAGTCTCTGAACCTACCTGGCGTCTTCAGGAGTCTCTGAACCTACCTGGCGTCTTCAGGAGTCTCTGAACCTACCTGGCGTCTTCAGGAGTCTCTGAACCTACCTGGCGTCTTCAGGAGTCTCTGAACCTACCTGGCGTCTTCAGGAGTCTCTGAACCTACCTGGCGTCTTCAGGAGTCTCTGAACCTACCTGGCGTCTTCAGGAGTCTCTGAACCTACCTGGCGTCTTCAGGAGTCTCTGAACCTACCTGGCGTCTTCAGGAGTCTCTGAACCTACCTGGCGTCTTCAGGAGTCCTCTGAACCTACCTGGCGTCTTCAGGAGTCTCTGAACCTACCTGGCGTCTTCAGGAGTCTCTGAACCTACCTGGCGTCTTCAGGAGTCTCTGAACCTACCTGGCGTCTTCAGGAGTCTCTGAACCTACCTGGCGTCTTCAGGAGTCTCTGAACCTACCTGGCGTCTTCAGGACTCTCTGAACCTACCTGGCGTCTTCAGGACTCTCTGAACCTACCTGGCGTCTTCAGGAGTCTCTGAACCTACCCTGGCGTCTTCAGGAGTCTCTGAACCTACCTGGCGTCTTCAGGAGTCTCTGAACCTACCTGGCGTCTTCAGGAGTCTCTGAACCTACCTGGCGTCTTCAGGAGTCTCTGAACCTACCTGGCGTCTTCAGGAGTCTCTGAACCTACCTGGCGTCTTCAGGAGTCTCTGAACCTACCTGGCGTCTTCAGGAGTCTCTGAACCTACCTGGCGTCTTCAGGAGTCTCTGAACCTACCTGGCGTCTTCAGGAGTCTCTGAACCTACCTGGCGTCTTCAGGAGTCTCTGAACCTACCTGGCGTCTTCAGGAGTCTCTGAACCTACCTGGCGTCTTCAGGAGTCTCTGAACCTACCTGGCGTCTTCAGGAGTCTCTGAACCTACCTGGCGTCTTCAGGAGTCTCTGAACCTACCTGGCGTCTTCAGGAGTCTCTGAACCTACCTGGCGTCTTCAGGAGTCTCTGAACCTACCTGGCGTCTTCAGGAGTCTCTGAACCTACCTGGCGTCTTCAGGAGTCTCTGCACCTACCTGGCGTCTTCAGGAGTCTCTGAACCTACCTGGCGTCTTCAGGAGTCTCTGAACCTACCTGGCGTCTTCAGGAGTCTCTGCATAGATGTGGTAGGTTCTCTCTTCAGTCACGATGTTCAGAGCATTCTCCTTCGCATGGTTATCCACTATGTCCCTGTAGACAGTGGGATGGGGACACCACAGGTTAGAGACAGGTTATCCACTATGTCCCTGTAGACAGTGGGATGGGGACACCACAGGTTAGAGACAGGTTATCCACTATGTCCCTGTAGACAGTGGGATGGGGACACCACAGGTTAGAGACAGGTTATCCACTATGTCCCTGTAGACAGTGGGATGGGGACACCACAGGTTAGAGACAGGTTATCCACTATGTCCCTGTAGACAGTGGGATGGGGACACCACAGGTTAGAGACAGGTTATCCACTATGTCCCTGTAGACAGTGGGATGGGGACACCACAGGTTAGAGACAGGTTATCCACTATGTCCCTGTAGACAGTGGGATGGGGACACCACAGGTTAGAGACAGGTTATCCACTATGTCCCTGTAGACAGTGGGATGGGGACACCACAGGTTAGAGACAGGTTATCCACTATGTCCCTGTAGACAGTGGGATGGGGACACCACAGGTTAGAGACAGGTTATCCACTATGTCCCTGTAGACAGTGGGATGGGGACACCACAGGTTAGAGACAGGTTATCCACTATGTCCCTGTAGACAGTGGGATGGGGACACCACAGGTTAGAGACAGGTTATCCACTATGTCCCTGTAGACAGTGGGATGGGGACACCACAGGTTAGAGACAGGTTATCCACTATGTCCCTGTAGACAGTGGGATGGGGACACCACAGGTTAGAGACAGGTTATCCACTATGTCCCTGTAGACAGTGGGATGGGGACACCACAGGTTAGAGACAGGTTATCCACTATGTCCCTGTAGACAGTGGGATGGGGACACCACAGGTTAGAGACAGGTTATCCACTATGTCCCTGTAGACAGTGGGATGGGGACACCACAGGTTAGAGACAGGTTATCCACTATGTCCCTGTAGACAGTGGGATGGGGACACCACAGGTTAGAGACAGGTTATCCACTATGTCCCTGTAGACAGTGGGATGGGGACACCACAGGTTAGAGACAGGTTATCCACTATGTCCCTGTAGACAGTGGGATGGGGACACCACAGGTTAGAGACAGGTTATCCACTATGTCCCTGTAGACAGTGGGATGGGACCACAGGTTAGAGACAGGTTATCCACTATGTCCCTGTAGACAGTGGGATGGGACCACAGGTTAGAGACAGGTTATCCACTATGTCCCTGTAGACAGTGGGATGGGGACACCACAGGTTAGAGACAGGTTATCCACTATGTCCCTGTAGACAGTGGGATGGGACACCACAGGTTAGAGACAGGTTATCCACTATGTCCCTGTAGACAGTGGGATGGGGACACCACAGGTTAGAGACAGGTTATCCACTATGTCCCTGTAGACAGTGGGATGGGACCACAGGTTAGAGACAGGTTATCCACTATGTCCCTGTAGACAGTGGGATGGGGACACCACAGGTTAGAGACAGGTTATCCACTATGTCCCTGTAGACAGTGGGATGGGGACACCACAGGTTAGAGACAGGTTATCCACTATGTCCCTGTAGACAGTGGGATGGGGACACCACAGGTTAGAGACAGGTTATCCACTATGTCCCTGTAGACAGTGGGATGGGGACACCACAGGTTAGAGACAGGTTATCCACTATGTCCCTGTAGACAGTGGGATGGGGACACCACAGGTTAGAGACAGGTTATCCACTATGTCCCTGTAGACAGTGGGATGGGGACACCACAGGTTAGAGACAGGTTATCCACTATGTCCCTGTAGACAGTGGGATGGGGACACCACAGGTTAGAGACAGGGAGTAGGCATTGGAGAGGACTGCCATCAGGAATAGGAAATGAGGTCAGCTGCAGTAGGCCAAAGGTCACACCAGGTTTGCGTCCAAACGGAACCCTATTACCTAGACAGTGCACTATCTTTGACAAAGGCCTATAGCATCAAAAGTAGTGCACTACATAGGGAATAGGGTGCAGGAGCACTATGGGCCCTGGTCTAAAGTAGTGCACTACATAGGGAATAGGGTGCAGGAGCACTATGGGCCCTGGTCTAAAGTAGTGCACTACATAGGGAATAGGGTGCAGGAGCACTATGGGCCCTGGTCTAAAGTAGTGCACTACATAGGGAATAGGGTGCAGGAGCACTATGGGCCCTGGTCTAAAGTAGTGCACTACATATGGAATAGGGTGCTATTTGGGACACAGCCCAGGTTCTTACTTGGCAGAGCGGATGTCGATGGTCCCCTTCAGTTTCTCCTCGCTGTCGTTCTCAAAGTACATGAGTTTATCTTCTCTCAGTACGAACCAGCGCTGCTTCCAGTTCCTTCTGGACAGAGTGGACATGCCACCTCCCTTCTTATACAGCCAGCCACTCTTCAGACTGTCCTGCTTAGCCCTGAACCACATGAAGACCTCATCCTTTAACACACACCACCTCCGTCTCCACGGGATCATCAGACCACCTGGGAGAGAGATTGTCTTATTACCTCTTGTTCCACCATCTTTGTTATATGTTTACTTTGGCAATGGAAGTTTGGAATGGAAAGTTAACTTTCCATGCCAATAAAGTGTATTAAATTGAACTGAATTGAGTGAGAGAGAGAGAGAGAGAGAGAGAGAGAGAGAGAGAGAGAGAGAGAGAGAGAGAGAGAGGGGAGAGAGAAAGAGAGAGTGGGAGAGAGAAAGAGAGATAGGAGTCTCGATGTCTCTAAGCGCTTTTCCCGATCTCGCTTCCGCTAATCTTTCGCTCAATCTCTCCTCGCTCTCTCTCTCTTCGACTCTCTATTCTCTCTCTCTCTCTCCTCCTCTAGAGGAGAAGCTTCTCCTATCTGAGTGCACACCCATGACGATCAATGACGATTAATTTTCTATTGAATGTAAAGCTAGATTGTTTAAGGAAAGACAATCATACGCTTATAGAGAATCATATCGGAATCATATCATATCGGAATCATATCAGAATCGGGGGTTTCTTCGGATGGGGCCACAGTGTCTCCGGACCGCTCCTGTCTCAGCCTCCAGTATTTATGCTGCAGTAGTTTATGTGTCGGGGGGCTGGGGTTAGTTGGTTATACCTGGAGTACTTCTCCTGTCTTATCCAGTGTCCTGTGTGAATTTAAGTATGCTCTCTCTAATTCTCTCGTTCTCTCTTTCTCTCTGAGAACCTGAGCCCTAGGACCATACGTCAGGACTACCGGGCATGATGACACCTTGCTATCCCCAGTCCGCCTGGCCTTGCTGCTATTCCAGTTTCAACTGTTCTGCCTGCGGCTACGAAACCCCTACCTGTCCCAGACCTGCTGTTTTCAACTCTAAATGATCGGCTATGAAAAGCCAACTGAGAGACCTGAGCCCTAGGACCATACGTCGGGACTACCGGCCGTGGTGACTCCTTGCTGTCCCCAGTCCGCCTGGCCTTGCTGCTATTCCAGTTTAAACTGTTCTGCCTGCGGTTATGGAACCCCTACCTGTCCCAGACCTGCTGTTTTAAACTCTAATGATCGGCTATGAAAAGCCAACTGAGATTTATTCCTGATTATTATTTGACCATGCTTGTCACTTATGAACATTTTTGAACATCTTGGCATGGTTCTGTTATAATCTCCACCCGGCACAGCCAGAAGAGGACTGGCCACCCCTCATAGCCTGGTTCCTCTCTAGGTTTCTTCCTAGGTTTTGCCTTTCTAGGGAGTTTTTCCTAGCCACCGTGCTTCTACACCTGCATTACTAGCTGTTTGGGGTTTTAGGCTGGGTTTCTGTACAGCACTTCGAGATATTAGCTGATGTAAGAAGGGCTATATAAAATAAAATTGATTGAAAAATTGATTGATAAGACAGAAGCCTGCTAGACTCCCTGTGCACTACAACATAACAGGTGCCTGTAACATGCCTGTCGACCAGTGGTCTGGTAAATCTAGGATCTGTCTCAAATGGCACCCTATCCCCTATATAGTGCACATCTTTTGACCCTATGGGCCCTGGTCAAGAGTAGTGCACTATATGGAATAGGGTACCATTGGTGAATGTACTCACCCTTCATGTAGAGGTAGCTGTGGAAGTATGGAGGCCCAGTACTCACCCTTCATGTAGAGGTAGCTGTGGAAGTATGGAGGCCCAGAGCCGCTCAGTAGGTTCACCCTGCCATTGGACACCTCCTCGTCTGTGTCCACGTAACCATCGGTGCTGCTTGTGTCACTGTCTATAAACTGAACATCACATACATAGACATATTATTACACAGCTAAATGTCTAGCCTGAGCACAAACAGATCTGATATAGGATAGTATGGGTTCTGTTAGTGATGTTACAGATCTGGGACCAGGTAGGATAGTATGGTTTTGTTAGTGAGTAACAGATCTGGGACCAGGTAGGATAGTGTGTATGTCTTATAAGCATGCTTTACCAGATCTGGACCACATTGTAAGGTTATGGTTCTGTTAGGGTGTTACAGATCTGGGACCAGGCTAGGATAGTATGTTCTGTTAGGGATGTTACAGATCTGGGACCAGGCTAGGATAGTATGGTTCTGTAAGGATGTTTACAGATCGGGGACCAAGCTGGGGATGTTGGTTCGTTAGGGTTTACAGATCTGGGCCCGGGCCACAAAAGGTATATTTGCAAAAGGTCTATCATTTTGTATTAATGGATAATTTTTTTGACCCATAGGGATACTTTTCGCCACCCGAGATTCAAGGGGAACGGTTTCTAGTAGAATGGGGAAAGAATTGAGAGCCATGAATGACTGAGACTTTAATAAAACCCGCTCCTTTATTTTGCTGAATAGTTGCCCCAATTTAAAACCCCTCTTTTCCCTTTTTTTTGGGGGGGGGGGGGGGGGGGGGGGAAAAAAAAAAAAAAAAAAAAAAAGGGGAAAAGGCTCGAGAGAGAGAGAGAGAGAGAGAGGAGATCGAGACGCTCTATCTATCTACGCTATCTCTCTCTACGTATATCTCTCTCTCTCTCTCTACCCTCCCCTCCATCTATCCTCCTTCCTATCCTTCCTCAACCATTCTGCTGAGTTGCCAGTGTTTCTTCCCAGTTCTCAGCGTCTCCCTGACAAACTGACTGACAGTATCTGGGCAGTGATCCACAGACAGACGTACACACCGCTAAAGTATTCCACAGTAACTCATCCTATTATAGATAACAGGGGATACATGCTTTAACATGTGCTGTAGTACATCAAGAGGGGTGCTTTAACGTGCTGTAGTTTAGGGCTGTGGAAAAGTCTAATAAACCAATTTAATATACACCATCACAATTAATCCATTATTTATTTTAGTCAGGTCTAAAGAAACATTATATGAAGAAAATGTATTTCAGGAGAACAGAATATGAGTTGGTCTACTGTATGTTATGTCTATGCGCCATGCCATAGGCTGTAGGCTTGTTCATTTAGCAGACAAGATACGCTTATAAATCCATGACATTATTTTATTATATATGATTTTATAGTAAGAAGAATAGAATTGAGCTGAATAAAATATAAATAATATTCCTGCCGGCCTGTTTTTCAGTGAGGCTACTTCGGTTTTATAGTTGTAATAATACAACCCTTAGAATGAAAAGAAAATACATATAATCTAGAATAGGGAATGGAGGCTGCTTTCCCGTGGGTCCATTTTGTAGGCTACTTCGGTTTTATAGCGGAGAATGTGCTTAATATGAGCAGCTGATAATAAATATAAGAACACTTATTTCACTCCACACATCAACCTCTGTTGGAGGAGCATGACCACCCTGCCCCACAGGTGATATTCCACAAAAACCCTGTTCCTGTGCTTCATTTTTGAAAATGTTTTCATAACGAAACATATTTCATTTAACTGTTGTCAGCCCCTCTCTGTGCGCGCTGGAGATAGGAATGAAGGAGAGAGGGGAAGAGATGGAAACACATGGTACTGTATAGTTAAAGTTAATGTGTCATCCAATTTATTATGAAAATATAAATTCCCTATTACTAGGCTATTCAAAATCAAATACAAATTCACTATAATTGTAGGCTAACTGTAAGCCGGCCTGCACAATCAACGAACCAACAGCATCGTCTGCGTACCCACATCCATACCACCATCTTGCGAGCAAAACATTTTAGCGGCCCCCCTCGTGACATGGAAGAGAAACATTTTCAGTTTTAAAGTTAATTTCCTGCAATTCTACACATTTTGCCATAGGGTGGAGGCAAATGTTTGCAGTTTTTAATATGATAACTGATGATAAATGGGCCCCACCCCGGTCGGTAATTCGACCATGCTTACTACAAGTTTACATAGCTGGCCGCTAGACTAACTTACCAATCAAAAAAAAAAAAAGGGCTAATTGAGTGACTGCTGATGCAACCACATTTAGAAATTGCACCTGTTGTATTATTCTATCATCCTGACTTGGGGGGGGGGGGGGGGGCAGTTCCCTATGCTACACCAAATATGTACCAAAGACATCTTAAATCAGTTCTGTTTTATGTTTTTCGTGTAATATGCAGTAGGCTATGTATTGTATAACAGCACAATCATAATAACAGCACAATCATAATTTTAATTCAGGTTTTTTGGGCTTGGGCTCAAATACAGGCCCTTGCTTATGCATAAGCTGTAATATCCATAAGGGTGTTTTGAATGAATCATCACCTTAGAAAGCGCTGTCCATTTCATTGTTAGGCTTTGAAACAACATCCACAACAACCATGTTTTACACTGTTTCAACCTGCTGTTGAACTTCTTTCTTCAAATTGATCATCACAGTGAGGTGAGTTTTAAAAGTATGATAGGCCTACTGTTTTGATAAGCATTTGAAGTGATTTTCGATTGTATTTGCATTGCTGTCAGAGGTAGAGGGTCAATAGAGCCCTGAGTACCAGGCCTTTAGGATCGGATGGGTAGAGGGTCAATAGAGCTCTGAGTACCAGGCCTTTAGGATCGGATGGTAGTTAGCAAGTTAGGTACTGCCAAAGCATGTCTAGAGTGCAGAAAAGGAGATTACTGTGACTGAAGGTCACGTGGAATTTGACTGCTGCCATGACTCGTGATTGTGTCGGTAATACGGTCACCACAACAGCTCTAGCTGTAGCACGTCAAGCCAGAACAATATGACTGGGAGCGATGTGTTCTGTGAAACACATGCTGTAGAAGGATGCACTTATATCCAACATATCTATGTGCTGTAGATAGACAGGAGTACTGGGGCCAATACAAGGCTGGGGCCAATACAAGGCTGGGGCCAATACAAGGCTGGGGCCAATACAAGGCTGGGGCCAATACAAGGCTGGGGCCAATACAAGGCTGGGGCCAATACAAGGCTGGGGCCAATACAAGGCTGGGGCCAATCCGTTGTCTTGTAACACCCCATCAGAGTGGGCTAAAAAAGCTCAAGGAAAACGCTCTTCTAACTCTTTCAGTTTGTAGAACTGTTTCAGCATATCAATCTCCAAAAGAGCGTCTGCTAAATGACTAAAATATAAACGCAGTACAGCTGCCTCTGAAGGAGTCCGGGCTGCAGTATGTAGTATCTAGTGTGTAGTATGTAAACACGCTAGTACTCACAGAGTCTGAGCTGCCTCTGAAGGAGTCCAGGCTGTTCTGAGTACAGGATGATTTCCTCAGCACCTCCTCATCAGTAGCATGTCCGTCCGTGATACTGGCTGCGTCTCCCGAGCCAGTACTCCCCTGCACCTCCTCAAACTCCTCCTGGTCATAGTCTGACTCTGTGTCTGGTAGGATGCTGAAGGAGATCCTCCCTGGCCCCGGCCTCCCTGGCCTCCCCGGCCTCCCCGGCCTCCCCGGCCTCCCTGGCCTCCCTGGCCTCCCTGGCCTCCCCGGCCTCCCTGGCCTCCCTGGCCTCCCCGGCCTCCCTGGCCCCCCCTCTAGAGGGCACTATGCCTGCTCTTCTCACTGGCACAGCCTCAGGTACTGTGGTGGGAGTAACGTCTACCCCGGTGGGCATAACATCGACCCTGGCGCAGGGTCTGTTGGGTATAACCTCTCCTCTCCTGGGTGCTCTGTTGGTGTCTGGAGCCACCTCTGTTCTCCTGGTGGGTTGGTGGCACAAAGCTTTACCTCCTCCGGTGGTGAGGGCAGGGAGAGGAGGTGGATGAGCAGGGTGGTGTGTAGGGGCACTAGAACCATAGGAGGTGAGAGGGGAGTAAACAGGGGGGCAACAGGGGGTCTGGGAGAGGGCCAGGGCCTTTGCTACCAGACCCTCAGCGAAGGCCGGAGGAGGGGGAGGGAGGGAGGAGAACAGCTCCTGGTCCAGAGGGACCTCCGCAGGGAGAGGGAAGTCAGGGAGGGGGATACCACTACTGGGACACTCCTCCACCTCCTCGGCCCGGGCCAGGGGAGTGGTGCTCTCTGAGGGGTCGTGGAGGTTCTCCTCGCTGGACAGACACTGTTCCAGACCCCCAAAGTCCAGGAGCTCCAGGAACTCGGTGGCAACGCGAGACGCCTCCTTCTCCAGCCTGTAGATCTCTGCGTCCCTCCTCTGCCGGAGCTCCTCCCTGCTCCCTTCCAGGCCGTCCCCTAACATGGACACCCCGTCCTCCCTCTGGCGCTGCAGCCTCTCGATCTCCTTCTCCAGCCGGAGGATCTCCTCCATCTGACGGGACTCCTCCTCTGAGGTGTGGGGGTGCAGGGAGTGGGACAGGGACACCTCCTTATGGTACACCTCCTTATGGGGAGCAAGATAATCCATCCCCAGGGAGTTCCTAAATGGAGAGAAGAAGAGAAAGAACATGATTAGACGGGGAGATTCAAGACAGTATTGCAGACAAAGCAATGTGTTGTTGGCTGACAGGGGGAGATTGTCATTGGCTGACAGGGGGAGATTGTGATTGGCTGACAGTACAGTACCAGTGTTGGTTGGTGTACCTGTTGTTAGCTGTAGTGTTCTTCTTCTCTTCCTGTCTGTTGCTAAGCTCCTCCTCTTTTCTCCTCAGTGCTTCCTGCTCCTGTTGTAGTCTCAGTCTTTCCTCCTCCTTCCTCCTCAACTCCTCCAGGTCTAACACCCTCCGTTTCTCTTCCTCCTCCTCTTCCTCTCTCCTCCTCCGCTCCTCCTCCTCTCGTCTCATCTCCTCTTCCAGCCTCCTCTTCTCCTCCTCCCTCTGTCTTCTCTCCTCCTCCTCTCTCCTCCTCTTCTCCTCAGAGAGCTGGCGGTAGAGGCCTCGGGCCAGCCGACCACGTTGGTGTTTCTGGAGAACGACAGCTGCAGTGCGGAGCCGCAGGAACACGCGTCTCCAGAAGTGAGCCCTGTAGTTCTTCTGGATGGTGACGGTGCTGGCCAGGACCCTCTTATAGTGTTTCCTATGGGGACACATAGTCAGTCACTACCTCTTATAGTGTTTCCTATGGGGACACATAGTCAGTCACTACCTCTTATAGTGTTTCCTATGGGGACACATAGTCAGTCACTACCTCTTATAGTGCTTCCTATGGGGACACATAGTCAGTCACTACCTCTTATAGTGTTTCCTATGGGGACACATAGTCAGTCACTACCTCTTATAGTGTTTCCTATGGGGACACATAGTCAGTCACTACCTCTTATAGTGTTTCCTATGGGGACACATAGTCAGTCACTACCTCTTATAGTGTTCCTATGGGGACACATAGTCAGTCACTACCTCTTATAGTGTTTCCTATGGGGACACATAGTCAGTCACTACCTCTTATAGTGCTTCCTATGGGGACACATAGTCAGTCACTACCTCTTATAGTGTTTCCTATGGGGACACATAGTCAGTCACTACCTCTTATAGTGTTTCCTATGGGGACACATAGTCAGTCACTACCTCTTATAGTGTTTCCTATGGGGACACATAGTCAGTCACTACCTCTTATAGTGTTTCCTATGGGGACACATAGTCAGTCACTACCTCTTATAGTGTTTCCTATGGGGACACATAGTCAGTCACTACCTCTTATAGTGTTTCCTATGGGGGACACATAGTCAGTCACTACCTCTTATAGTGTTTCCTATGGGGACACATAGTCAGTCACTACCTCTTATAGTGTTTCCTATGGGGACACATAGTCAGTCACTACCTCTTATAGTGTTTCCTATGGGGACACATAGTCAGTCACTACCTCTTATAGTGTTTCCTATGGGGACACATAGTCAGTCACTACCTCTTATAGTGTTTCCTATGGGGACACATAGTCAGTCACTACCTCTTATAGTGTTTCCTATGGGGACACATAGTCAGTCACTACCTCTTATAGTGTTTCCTATGGGGACACATAGTCAGTCACTACCTCTTATAGTGTTTCCTATGGGGACACATAGTCAGTCACTACCTCTTATAGTGTTTCCTATGGGGACACATAGTCAGTCACTACCTCTTATAGTGTTTCCTATGGGGACACATAGTCAGTCACTACCTCTTATAGTGTTTCCTATGGGGACACATAGTCAGTCACTACCTCTTATAGTGTTTCCTATGGGGACACATAGTCAGTCACTACCTCTTATAGTGTTTCCTATGGGGACACATAGTCAGTCACTACCTCTTATAGTGTTTTCCTATGGGGACACATAGTCAGTCACTTTCCTCTTATAGTGGTTTCCTATGGGGACACATAGTCAGTCACTACCTCTTATAGTGTTTTCCTATGGGGGACACATAGTCAGTCACTACCTCTTATAGTGTTTCCTATGGGGACACATAGTCAGTCACTACCTCTTATAGTGTTTCCTATGGGGACACATAGTCAGTCACTACCTCTTATAGTGTTTCCTATGGGGACACATAGTCAGTCACTACCTCTTATAGTGTTTTCCTATGGGGACACATAGTCAGTCACTACCTCTTATAGTGTTTCCTATGGGACACATAGTCCTCACTACCTCTTATAGTGTTTCCTATGGGGACCCATAGTCAGTCACTACCTCTTATAGTGTTTCCTATGGGGACACATAGTCAGTCACTCCTCTTATAGTGTTTCCTATGGGGACACATAGTCAGTCACTACCTCTTATAGTGTTTCCTATGGGGACACATAGTCAGTCACTACCTCTTATAGTGTTTCCTATGGGGACACATAGTCAGTCACTACCTCTTATAGTGTTTCCTATGGGGAGGGGACAACAAAAGACACAAGTAACTGTATGGCTGTCCACTCATTGTTCAAACAACATCTCACCTAATCTGTCTGGAGCTCTACTCTACTCTACTCTACTCTACTCTACTCTACTCTACTCTACTCTACTCTACTCTACTCTACTCTACTCTACTCTACTCTACTCTACTCTACTCTACTCTGTCTGGAGCTCTACTCTACTCTCTACTCTACTCTACTCTACTCTACTCTACTCTGTCTGGAGCTCTACTCTACTCTCTACTCTAATCTGTCTGGAGCTCTACTCTACTCTAATATGTCTGGAGCTCTACTCACAATACTGTGCAGTCATCTCATCATGTATTGAATCAGGTTTGGAACTATGCCAATATGTTCAAACAACAACTAGATCAACTGTATTCTATAAAATAATATGTTGGATCACCAAAGATCAAGACATTGAAACTGTTGGACTGTCTAATCTTTCTCTAAATGGTAGCAGCAGCTAGATGTTAATCAAGGTTAGTAATATCCACAACACTGACAGACTGTTGAGAATATAATGTTGCTCTTCAAATGTAACTGCTATATTTATCAGCCTGGTCTCAGAGAAAAACGTATTATATTTTACTAAAATCTATTCCACTCCATGTAGTTTCTTTACGTTAGGTTACATTACATTTACTAGATGTAACATAGTAGATGTAAATCGGGACACTCAAATTAGTATGGTATGTTAAGTTTGGTATGGAGAGTAGGTTAACCGTAGCATATCATACTAAAGCAGTCGAAAGTAGCATATCGTACTAAACCGGTCAGATGCGATTAAGACGTAGTATACTATACGTCCTACAACTCATATTATATTGTACGACCGCTATTACATTGGTTAGCCAATGTAATGTAATCTAACGTAAAGTAATTTATATTAACTGGAGTGGCTCAGATTTTAGTAAAATATAATATGTTTTGCTCTGAGACCAGGTTCATAATCCAGATATGACTGGTTCTACATATCATCTAGTATCTAGACACTGGTACTGATCTTCCTCCACTTTGTCTGGGACACAGTCCAAACCCATTCCAAATAGTCCCACTTGTAAGAAACACCCAGGCTTCTATTTTGGGTTGATTATTAAAAATGTTCAATTAAAGATATCTTTCAAACATACTGATACAGTATATTACACTAGTATAAGTAGACTCCCTACTAAACGACAAAGACACTGTCATAACACTGCCATTCCCCTCACAGAATCATCTGTATAAACAAAAACATTCACACATGCATACTCAAATACATACAGTGCACACAAATCCTGGAGAACATGAACTAACAACACCCCCAGACATCTCCCTCCCCCCCCCCCAGCAGCCCCACCCCCAGTCTCTTAACCCAGGCCCGGCTATACCCACCCCCAGTCTCTTCCCCAGGCCCGGCTCCAGTACCCACCCAGCCCTCATCCCACCCCTCCCCAGCCCGCTCCAGTACCCACCCCAGCCCTCTCCCCAGCCGGCTCCAGTACCCACCCCCAGCCCCTTTCCCCATCCCGGCTCCAGTACCCACCCCCAGCCCTCTTCCCCAGGCCCGGCTCCAGTACCCCCCCCCACCCTCTTCCCCAGGCCCGGCATCACACCCACCCCCAGTCCTCTTCCCCAGGCCCGGCTCCAGTACCCACCCCCAGCCTCTTCCCCAGGCCCGGCTCCAGTACCCACCCCCAGCCCTCTTCCCCAGGCCCGGCTCCAGTACCCACCCCCAGCCCTCTTCCCCAGGCCCGGCTCCAGTACCCCCCCCCAGCCCTCTTCCCCAGCCCGGCTCCAGTAACCACACCCCCAGCCCTCTTCCCCATGCCCGCTCCAGTAACCCACCCCCAGCCCTCTTCCCCAGGCCCGGCTCCAGTACCCCCCCCCAGCCCTCTTCCCCAGGCCCGGCTCCAGTACCCACCCCCAGCCCTCTTCCCCAGGCCCGGCTCCAGTACCCACCTTGCCATATAGCTGAGTATGTGTGCCCGGATCACCATGCCCGCCTGTCTCCGTACCTCTTCCCTCTCCTTCTCCAGCCTGTGTTCCAGCTCTTCCTTCAGGAACACCTGCAGGACAGTACACATGCCACGCCACGGTCCAGGAGGGCAGAGTGGGGGGGATGGAGGTTAGTTCCTGTTGATAAGGTCCAAGGTCGGTTGTCTCAGAGCAGAGCAGAGCTAGTTACTCTCCCCCCTGACTGTCACTGCAGAGAGCCCAGCTGTAGACTGCTACGGTGCTGCTACTGCTGCAGAGAGTCATAGTGTTGTGTTGTTAGTCCTACTGCTGCAGAGAGTCATAGTGTTGTGTTGTTAGTCCCACAGCGAGCGTCCATTCTGTCTATGTGTTGTTTCCCTTCTGCTGCTGCTCTGTCTATCTGGCTGCTACTGAAGTGAACCGGGAGATAGGAGAGAGACTTAATGGGGTAGACCAGAGAATGCAGTGAGGGAGTTGACCTGATGGCAGGTGCTATGCGGGTAGCGAGAGGAGAGGAGAGAGAGAGAGACTTAAAGGGAGGAGACCAGAGAAAGGCAGGGAGGGAGGGAACTGAGGGCAGGAGAGGAGGGAGGGGAGAGAGAGAGCGAGAGAGAGAGAGACTTAAAGGGAGGAGAGCCGAGAAAGGCAGGGAGGGGAGGGAACTGAGGGGCAGGAGAGGAGGGATGGGAGAGAGAGAGCGAGAGAGAGAGAGACTTAAAGGGAGGAGAGCCAGAGAAAGGCAGGGAGGGGAGGGAACTGAGGGGCAGGGAGAGGAGGGGAGGGGAGAGAGAGAGAAGCGAGAGAGAGAGACTTAAAGGGAGGAGAGCCAGAGAAAGGCAGGGAGGGGAGGGAACTGAGGGGCAGGGAGAGGAGGGGAGGGGAGAGAGAGAGAGAGCGAGAGAGAGACTTAAAGGGAGGAGAGCCAGAGAAAGGCAGGGAGGGGGAGGGAACTGAGGGGCAGGGAGAGGAGGGGAGGGGAGAGAGAGAGCGAGAGAGAGTAGAGACTTAAAGGGAGGATAGAGCCAGAGAAAGGCAGTGAGGGGAGTGAACTGAGGGGCAAGGAGAGAGGGGAGGGAGAGAGAGAGCGAGAGAGAGAGAGACTTAAAGGGATAGAGCCAGAGAAAGGCAGGGAGGGGAGGGAACTGAGGGGCAGGGAGAGGAGGGGAGGGGAGAGAGAGAGCGAGAGAGAGAGAGACTTAAAGGGAGGAGAGCCAGAGAAAGGCAGGGAGGGGAGGGAACTGAGGGG